ATGATTCTCGGAGATTAAATCTAAAACAATAGTTTACATACATTCTTGTATTGTATCCAATTGAAATACGAGTGTAGTTATAATGGTTAATACCGGTTTTGCATTATTACAATAAATAAAAAATGCAAAAAATAATCTATATAATTATTTATTAAAATACATCGAAACTAGTGATAAATGGTAGTCGTTAAATCTTCTCAAAAGAAAAACAAATTTGCTTTTACCAACATATAAGTAACACGTTCGATAAATGCCACAAAAACTAACAATTTTTATTGTTTCCTGTGCGAAAACCATCACGTTTCCTTGACTATGATGGAGACTATTTGTTATTTCCCGACGAATACAATCGCAACGTTTCATATTTTTCATATAAAGGCTAAAAATAGGGCATTGTTCTTTTTACTGCATACGAAAGACGACGAAAAATCTCATTATTGGATGTAGATGACAACCTTAAAATGTGATGGGCTCCGCTGTGAAATAGTCAAAAATAACACTAAACTATAGGAGAGTAGAGAGGTGAATAAGAATTAAAAGCGAATAAGTTATAATTACTGCGTATACCTAAAGTTAAAACCATTTATTTCAGACAACTTATACAATAGTGACGACTCGTTTATTTTTAACTCGATCATTACTAAAACTTTGATCCTTTATGCAACGTGTACGTAATTCAAATAGGTTAATTTGTCCTAACCACATCACCCGGACGGTCGATACTCAAAACATCCAATCGCTTAAGTCATAAAAATATATACCACTATAAAACGTAGAATTATAATTAGTTTAAGAACTTTACTGTTAATAGGTACTATGCAATACGCATATTTAGATTTTGAAATAATAATATTAGAAAAAATTATTTAATAATATTGCAATATACAGAGTGATTGGTTTTTAATAAACTAATTAATTACTCGCAAAATAAATACAAAATTATAAAAAATGTTTCGGTTTTTTTAGTTATGTATATTCCTTCATTTATTAGCTATTATTTACTTTTTAGGATCATTCCTTATTAAGTATAGGGGTATCAACATTATTTTATTAAATGGTAATTATACATTTAATTAGTTTGTATAATAAGAAATAATCTAATTAAGAAAATTACTGGCCGATAACAACTTGAAAAAATAAAGTCGACATCCCTTTTGGTTATTATGAATATTTTTAATTATTACCTGATAAATCAAGAATTATATGTAATTAAAAGAAAAAACATTTTTTTTTCAATATTATATTTATTTTGCGAGTAATCGAGTAGTTTATGATAAACCGATCAATTTGTATTGTTGTAAATAATACCTTGTTTTGTAAAATTAAAATAACTAACAAATAGATTTGTTTTAAAAATCAAGTGCATAGTTAAAACTCTTTAGATCGATTTCCTGCAAACTTGTAATCATAAATACTTATATTCATACACATTTAGCATAAATATCAATAATTATAATAATTAACTATTGTTATTTTATTAAATAAAATTTAGAATGTTAGAAATAACTTTAATACAAATTTTTGTAGGTCCAAATTAAAATTATTTTTATATTTATGCATAAAGATTCAGCTTTAATTTTTATGGGATCAGGATAAAAGTGATAAAATTTTTGAATAAATGTAGAACAACTGATGGTCAAAAATAAAATAAAAACAAAACATGGTGCCTAGAAAAAATGACTCAATGTAAAAGAGTTACTAAAATAATAAATGGCTTTAATTTAAATTAATTTATACATAAAAGACTAGTTTTAGATCTTCATAAAATATTTAGTTTAGACTCAAATAGAACTAGTCCAATACTATAGTATTAAAGGAGTAAAATTATACTTTTAACTCTTTAAATAATATTCGTTAACTTTAGTGGTAAAATGAGTAATTCCACTTCAAATTATTCCTATACTTTAGAATAAAGCAAAACTCTAGTCAAGTTTAATTCGTGTAGCATGATTAACTATTATTATTATCCAAGTTATTTTCAAAAATAATGATATTTACATTATATTATAATTAACTTTAAGTTACATAAACTTCTAAATAAACGATATAACGTAATTGTTCACAGAATTTACATTGTAATTTGAACCGCCTGTTACTCTTGTCTTTGAGTTTAAGATGGTCTCAACATTTAAAACTTAAATAAGTCACCCAATTCGTAGAAGATTTTACTGATTACATTAAAACTCTATATGCTTTAAAGTCTACTTCATACATAACCATTGATGTCATATTAATTTATGTTTTCTCATAATTTCCTTAAATATAATGTGTCTTTGTCTATTAAATAGTTATGAAACTCAAAGATTATAGGTATTCAATGTTACAGCTATCTTTCGAGTATAAAGAAATTTCTTCTAACATTAATGTTTTAACATAAACTACTTATGAATGTTCTATACTACTATCAAATTTCTGTAAAATACAAAATTTTCTATTATAAAACACCCGAATCCCCTAAATTTTAGATATTATTTTTAAGAAGAATTTTTAAAAAGTTATTGAGTGATTAAATTTGTTATGATGATAAAATAATTTTTTAATAATAAAATAATTTTTGCATATTCAATCTAGAAAAAATTCCAAATCACGCAGGCGCGTTAAAACTGCGTTTAACTTTTTAATTAACAAAAATACTATGTAAATCTTAAAATCTAACACTTATAATATTAAGTGTTAGATTTTTAAATTTAAAAGTGGCGTTAAGAGGCAGAAATTTTCTATAATTACAAGAATACGAATAATTGTCAAAGCAATATTGCTGCAAAAGATATTCAATTTTTCAAAGCGATAAAATCTGTTTTCGTCAGCAAAATAATAAAAAAATTTATCTTATTTAATAATTTTTCATGTATTTCAGATTTGTTCACCATCATCTGCTTAGCCTTTATGCCAACTATTTGGTTCTACCTTACGATTTGACAGGTTTTTACACCGGCTGTCGACCTATTATGGCTGAGGGTCTTACACGTTTGTTACATGTTTATTAATAAATTTAGAGTTAGAGCACATAAATCTTTGCTTTATAAAAATTAATCTTTCTGTATTACTAGGAACAATAGAGCTAAAAGAATTTTATTTTTTATTTTAATAATTGACAAAATATTTAAATTACTTAAAATATCAGTAGTTTTCAAATTTGAAGCTATTAAGTTCAATTATTTTATAGAAAAAAAATATATTTCATGAAATAAAAATATTCATTGATAAAAAAATATCAAAATAAAGAAATAATAAATTAAAAGATTTTAACTAAGAGTTTCTATTTAAGATTGTATATTTTAGACTTCTGATTCGAGATACAAAAATTATAGAATATTCTAGGTATATATTTTATAAAAAACCGTTAAAAAAAAAAGAATGGTAAAACTCATATATTTTCAATGCCATCATTAATTAACATACGATTTTACTATTAATAAGATTCTTTTCCTGATTTATTTTAAACAAGATGAAGGAATTTAAAATTTATGAAAAATATCTTCGGGTGATATTTCCAATTACGTTTTACATAAAATAAAAATTATCCAGAAAATTAAATTAAGAAGCTTTATCAATAAGTGCTCATAAATTTCATCAAACCTTCAATTTTAATTTAGATTTCTAGAAAACATAATTCTGTGGGGCTTTTCCCCTATAATCCTCTCATTACTTTATGTATACAGAGTGATCGGTTTATTATAAACCACTCTCAAAATAAATACAATTTTGGGAAAATTGTTTTTGATTTTTTTTAGTTACGTATATATTATCTATAAATTACTTTTTAGAATTATTCCTTACATTTTACAGGGGTGTCGATCTTATTTTATCAAATGAAACGTACATAATATAATAGATAACAAAGTATTTAAGATAATGACTGATCGATAACAACTTTTGAACCAGTACATCGGAAGTTATTTTCATTTTCACACCTAGGCAAGAGGAAGTGTACGGCTGGAAAATAACTAGTGATACAAATAGCAATACTCATTCTTCACTACCAATTATTAATTTAAATTATAAATAGTTTATGGAATAATGATTGATATCGAGTAGTGAATTTCTTAATTAGATTATTTCCTATTATATAAGCTTGTTAAATATGTATGTTGCCATTTTAAAAAAATTATATTGACACCAATTTAAGTTATAAGGGATGATTCTATAAAGTAATTAATAGCTGATTAATTAAAAATATATGTAAATGAAAAAAAAACAATTCTTTTCCCCAAAAATTTATTTTTTTTTTGAGATTAATCCTTTATATATAAAAAAGCTTAAATTTATTTAATTTAATAAGTGAACCCCATTTCTTTTGTTAAGAATATAAAACAAAAACGGTTAGATAATATATAGTATAACAGTAAATAAATATTGGGACATCAGTGACCAAACTGAATAACCTTTCTGGGGAGTATTAATTGATGAAATAACAATTTTTTGCTTACCCTAAAAATATTTTTATATTATGGAAAATATGAATTTCTAAATCTTTTAGGGTGCTGCCACTGATAATTGCACTACTGATCTTAAAATAAGCAAGTGGCATGTTTGAGGAATGAGGGTTTTTGGATGAACCTCTTAAAATTTAGAAAATTACACAGCTTCGATACAACGAGGAGAAAATGAAAAAAAATGTCTTACATAAAACCCCACTCAACTATATATATTAGATACACAACTGAGGTAAACTAGTATATAATTAACAAAAGAATTTTAAATAATTTTATTTGTGACAGCCAATAATGGTCTTAAAACTTTAAGTCCAGATCCCTTGTAAATATTTAGTTTTACTTTTATAATCTTTGCACGTGGCAAAGGAAAAAGGAATTTATGTACAACGCGACATAATCGTACCGGTACCTTTGCAACGAGAAACGTTTCCGACTGAACTATGTAAGTTATCTTCATAACTTTTAATATTAATTGCAAAATATTTACATGTCATATTATATCTTGATGTTTAGAGGTTGAAACCACATTAAATTAAGGATAATTTTTTTAAATTTCACAATTACCTATTCGTATGACCGATGGCATAGCTGTCAACGAGTCATCTATCTTCCACAACCAAACGATAAAGAATACTAACCAACCAGGTCCACCCGCTAACATAGTGCAGTTGATAGACAGCGATTGCACATCACGAAGAATTTTCGCGGTGTTACATAATGGTTTCAATATAACTAACAGCACATAGGCGAACCTGTGTACGGTTACTCACAAAAATAAAAATTTAATTTTCTAATACTTCGTATAACAGTTACAATGAAACAACATAATAATTCTTTAACGCCAGAATTATTTTCAACCCGTTCACTTTAATCGACGATAAAAATATACCGGTGGCAAAAAACGAAACCACACGCCAACCCCACACGCAACGACGATCAGCGTGGCGAACACACCGGACGCAGACTGGCGGTTCGCTTTCAAAAAAAAAAACCCAAATCCTTTGCTCGTTCCTTTGTCGCCGCCCAGGAACAAAAGTCGCCGTCGCCGATGAGCGTCGCCACCGACGCTGTCGTCGCCGGCCGATATCATCGCTCCAAGTTTTTATTTTCCTCTAGCCAATTTCCTAAATCGGTTCACTTTTCCTTTCTTCCGTATAAATAACTGCTACTGCCAAATAATTAAACACAGGTCCAATTCAAATACAAACTATGAAGACAATGACGAGCATTTACATCGAAACAGAATGGTGTACCTCCAAAGTCATCATTTGGGTGGTCAGGGTGTGCGGTCGCACCTTTACATTAAAAACAGTCCCAATTGGCTTGCAAAAAATAATGCACCAATTTTTATACATCGATTCAAAAACATTGTATTGTTGTGGTTACTACGTGGTCAATAAACAAAAATATTCTGTTATCAATTAATTGAGTTAACAATAAATATATCATACTGAACCATTGATATTCGAACCGGACGCAAGATATTGATATTGATGTTTGTAACTGCTTTTATTACGACTTCTTTGCCTCGCAGTCAACGGCAATAATTGATAACAGTAATGAACTAATAAATATAAAATTCAACGATTGCTATGTTTTATTATATAATATTATTGAATCATATTGATCATCACTTTGATTTTTAGCAGAAAAAAACAAAGTAAACAAAGTAAAAAAACCCAGCACAAGGGGGTCGCGGCACAGTGGTGACGTGGCATAGTTGGATCAAGTATAATGATATCTGACAGTGATTAAAATCACTATCAAAAATAAACGCTTCGATGCAAATCTTTAGATAGTGTTTAATTTTAAAAAAATTGGTGTTTTATTCCAAAAGCTACTTGATCTGCTGGTTCCTTATTAATATCTCGATTAAGATAAAGTATGTCGAATGAAAAAGGGTTTATTAAAAAATATTATTTCTCATAAAAAAATT